AAAGGAACGCATAGTCAACGTAGACATCGCAAGGTGTATTCGACAATCACAGCGGGTGAATAGCCACTCGCGTTAGAACAGGCTCTACCAGACGACTTACTTTGAACAGTGGACTTGACCGATTGTCATTGAAACTCAACTGACTGGAACGCTGCTCATAATATCAATGACAAGTGTGCTTGGTCCAAACTCGATTATTAAATATAAAAGGTCAAGGCGAGAGAATAATTAGTTTCGATTATCTTCCGAAACAGATTTCTTTGAGCGTTTACGCAAATCAGTGGTGAATGTGAATGTGAATGAATGGACACCAGGTGTTCGCGAAAAGTGCAAGCATGTCCTGCTCTCCGGCCGTGTCAACCTGGATATACTTCTTACTGCAGCGTCACAATATTTAAAATTGAACATTCGTTAAATATTCGAAAAGAAAATCTTCCGCCCCCATATCTTGATTTAACCAATCTGAATCATTTAAACGGAAAATACTCACGAATGCCCTTCGAACACTTACAATAGCTTTTTATTCATACGATGGAAACAGGCAGTTATTTCTGGTAGATTCAATTATTGTTCTGTCGATAATGCAAAACAGTGCGCCTACAGAGTCACGATTAATACAGATTTCAGCGACTCTTTACAACCCTCCGAAGAGCAGAGGAAATGCAACATACAATTGACGTTTGTTTCCATTAAATTCAAACTGCACATAACAATTCATAGTTCGACAAGTGATTTCCAGATTGTTTTATGTTTTAAATTTAATATGTGTGTCTATTTGTATAATATATAGAGGATATTTCATGTGTCGAGTGAAATATCTCCTGTTTCGCCGTCACGAGATGAGAGAAACATGCTATTTCACGAGATATATGGAATATCCTAGTTATTATATACTTTTTTGTGTAGTCGTCTACCGGAAAATGAATTTATTTCATTTCAAATATATAACCTTGAAACGTAAATTCTCCACAGCTAACACACAGGGACGTTCACCACCCCTTGTATTTGCGACTTAAAAAGAAGTTTCGTGTTTGCAAAATCGTAAAAAATATAAACCAAAGTAACAAAACATATTTAGGGTAACGATAATTCTTAATCATGCATTTGATATGATTATATACAAAGTATATAAAGTATTCTTAATATCTACGAGACAGCTGTTGGAAGCGAAAGAATATACGCTGGTCAAGTAACAAAAATGGCGCTTTGCGAAACGAACAGTCTCCTTTTGCGAGTTAGATGAGAAATTTACATTTTATAACGAAACATTGAAAATAACAAACGGCAAGAAGCGATAGTAACTCCATAAATGACCATCTGTCATTATTTTGCCTTGTTAATGTTAAACCATAAAAATCAGGTGAACAGTTTGTGTGTGGGCGAGACAATTACAATAAAGGGAGACAATGTGCGGGGAGGTAACTCTTGTATGACATAGTTTGACGTCAAAGTGTTACGGTCACTGCAGTGAAATAGCATGTGTTATGTTAACTGTAACAAAAATATCACTTTTCTCAACTTAAGAATAAATAAATTCTCGGCTTGCTCCTGAGTGTTCAGTCGAATGAAGTATCTAAAGTTAGCCGAAAGGAATTGTGGAATGGCATGTACGTTTGTACACAGCAATCAAGGCATCTATTCAGCTGACATTTGCTTTAAAAAAAAAAATTGAATAACCTACAAACTCCATAACAACCTCACAAGACTAACGGACGAAGTATACGAACATATACGATATTAAATATACATTATTAGTCCATCAGATTGTGAAGTTTAACCGCAATGACAAATTGGTAGAAGCTCGGCACTTGACATTTCAATTCCGCTGTCATTGTTTTGCCATTACTTGACTCTACGTCGATGCTGGAAAGGTTCTGGGCACAATTATGACATAACGACAAGCATAGTCACCTTTTACGGCAAGCATTGGTTGCTGAAGACCTATTCTACCCTGGAATCTTCACGGGTCTGCAGTGGAAGGATCACAGTTGGGATAATCGATACACATGAAGTACATCGAGAGATTATTTGCATTTAAATGAACATCACTTTGCAGTAAAATATATGCATATTATTATATAAATTTACACGATAAAAACATATGTTAAAATATATAAAACCGCTTAAGACACTACTTGCCAACACGTTTGGTCGTTGTACTGTAACTTACACAAATGTCAATCGGCGTTATATGATCTTCTCACGCTTGCAAAAAAGATTTTTAAAGAGGCAACAATTTATACTTATAATCGTTTTACAACGTGAGATGCTTCTGAATACTTGAAGTATGAGACTGTACTCAAGAGTGCACGTTGAATGTTCATCATCCTACGCATCATCGTTTACAATCCACCCAAGATGATGATGCTCTAATGTAGTGGTATGTCCGAAATCTTTCGTTAAAACTATTTTATATTACCGACAGCACAACATACATCTGATAATATAGCATGATTTATTAACGTCATATCGCAGGAATATTGCTGAGTGAGTCGTTAAACAACAAACAAATAATGTATCTGAAAGTTCATATTAATACTATAAGATATGGCTATAACGATCTGTATGAGTGAGTGGGTTGGGTTTAACGCCGCTTTTAACAGTATTCCAGTTATATCACGGCGTGTCAGCTTAATGTGGGAGGAAAGCCCGAAGTGATGCAGGTCTTAGACGTTTACCACTTCGGAGAAATCCAATGGTGCTGACAAACCTGGAAACATAATCGGGGCGAATCGGGATTCGAACCCACAATCATAGGTTTCTGGCGTGCCCAAGGGACGCAACTCTGCACAGCGAATTGCGGCGCCTTAGACGACAGTCCCTCGATCTGGATGAAGATCCCAAGGTTGACTGCAGAGAATATAAGAACTTGACTAGTTCTGATTATGAAACATATTAATTCAAACTAGTGTTATTTTGGAACACGTGTCTAAAAAATGTTTTGGAGCATTTTTGACTGCTAAAATTTATGAGCGAGTGCGAACCAGTTTCTTACTCTTCACTGCGTGTATGCAGCTTATAATGACTGCCACTTGTGGTTGATTCAAGCATCGATCACGGGATTTACTCCGCGTCTGAATTGCCTATCCGTTGACTCTTGAAATCGACATGAGCATCCATCATTAACGTCACAAACATTACAATTGTATCCAGTTAGCATATCCTGTTGTCGTTGTCAGCGGATGATTGATATAATTCATTTTCTGGTGTAAATCTCAGTTGTCGTTGTCATACGTAACGACACCTCATGGTATTTAGGAATTAAAAGGTAGCTCAGTTGTTACAAATTTTACAGGTTTTCCGGCGTCTTTGATGCGACCAACTATGATGTATTGACAAAACCAAAAGTGTTGGTGTTGACGTTCTGACACCAGGATCTTCAGTATAAACTATTTGTACAGAGATGGTCTGCGTTCGGTAGGCATGACAGAGACAGTGAGTGAGTGAGTTGGGTTTAACGCCGCTTTTAACAGTATTCCAGTTATATCACGGCGTGTCAGCTTAATGTGGGAGGAAAGCCCGAAGTGATGCAAGTCCCAAACGTTTACCACTTCGGTGAAACCCACGAGAGCACGGGTATGGTGCTGACAAACCTAGAAACATAATCGGGGCGAACCGGGATTCGAAGCCACAATCATAGGTTTGTGGCGTGCCCAAGGGACGCAACTCTTCACAGCGAATCGCGGCGCCTTAGACGACTGGGCCACCCGTGCCCCCTGGCATGACAGAAACCTAGGACCGTCAGATTGGATCCCGAATTAGTCTTCTTTTCATGTGTTTTCATCACAGTAATCGTGCCCGCTTCATTTGTTTGTTTGTTGTTTAACGCAATATTCCAGTTATATGACGGCGGTCTGTAAATAATCGAGTCTGGACCAGGTGGTCCAGTGATTGACATCATAAGCATCGATCCATGACACGATGACATGCATCAACCAAATCAGCGAGCATGACCACCCGACCCCGTTAGCCGCCACTTACGACAAGCATGGTCGCCTTATACGGCACACATGGGTTGCTGAAGACCTATTCTACCCCGGATCTTCACGGGTCTTTGAACAATATTCCAGTTAAATCACTAACATAGCGGCGATTCGCGAGGAAACATCACCAAGATACTGCGGCCAAATGTACTTGGATTATATCAACGCAAGTGAGTTGGGTTTATCAATGCGTTGAACAGTATTCCAGTTATATCACGGCGTGTCAGCGTGGAAGCCCGAAGCATTGCATGTCTCAGACGTTTACCACTTAGATAAAACCCATCAACACGGATATCGTACCGACAAACCTAGTCATCTAATCGAGGAGAACCGGGAATCGAACCCAAGAGTATAGGTTTCTGGCGTGCCTAAGGGATGCAACTCTGCATGAATTGCGGCGCCTTAGACGACTTGGCCACCCGTGACCTTAAATATGAAACTAACTGTCATGGGAAGTGACGGTCTAATCGTTCGTGGCTAAAATGCCAACTTGAAAACAAAAGAAATAATACGATTATATCCGCATGCCCACACACCCAAATAAACTTTAGACATTAGAAAGTGTAGAAAATCGGTATCAAATCCGGTCCTCGGTCAAGGACCAAGGGATAATGATTGTTATGATGAAAGGGTAGCCTGAAGCCAGGATGGTAAATTGGGATGCAGAACACAGGCAGATCGTGAGTGACTCCGGTCTATCTGGTGTCCGTCCTGTAGCCTTACTGACATGATATTTGACTGCCGCATAGCGCTAGGCCGACAATCACGGTGCGTAGCTCATCCACGCGGTATAATCTGAAGCCGCAATGCCCCGTTAACTATATAACACGTGCGTTGGGCACACACCGCAGTAATAATCTAGATATCATCGATCTCGATGTCTCTCAACAACCAGCACCAATTGAATCTATGACTGAAATCATCAAATCTGAAAACTACTATAGACATTTGTTATCGACATGATAAATATGTCAAACTAACAATTAACATGTGTTAAGTGTGATATATGTAACTCACCTCCAGGCTGAAATCGATGAGCCAGTGCTGCAGTACAATCTGAGAGATCAATTCCAGTAGCAACTGACTGATGCCCGACCACATACATCAATCAATGTTCATATCACAGACAGCCGAAATTGACATCGGTTTTTAAATGCCATGTAAGTGTACCAGCGCGCTTCTGTCTGAGCTACGGGAATTGTTACTCCGTGCGTCCGGCTACCGTCCGGTTTAGGTCCGAAGAGTGGCCGCAGTTCGTTCCATGGTTCGTCATAAGACAGCATAACGCTGTATCGAATGAAGCGCTACACGTACCGACATGGTGCATTGTCGATGTACAAAGACATTGCAGTGATCAATAGAGTTGCCAACAGTGACAGACCGCACTCTATGGTGGACGCACTACCTTGCTGAGCGTCGCTCCACTGAACGAGGAAATGAAATTACACGCATATGTCACGGCCTAAGGGTCAAGCGAACTGGATACATGTATATATTCCTCAACTGGTTTTATCCCAAGTATCGCATCCGTATAATCCATTCAGTATTGTGTCAACAACGTGTTCCTAAGTACACGGAGTAATATACAAAAGTACACAGGCTATGGTATTTCAGTGTTGCCTCGCTGTACGGCTGTACACTCTACACTTAAACGAGCAAAGTAAATCCGGGGAAGAAAATGTGCGTCCATCTAAAAAGCCTCGCATGTTAATTATTGATACTGATTGATCTCAAGGGAGTTTTCAGGACGCTACTGGCGGTTAATGATGCATGATTGCTACATAAACACTTGTAATACGTTTCAGATTAGGGTACATTTCCATTGTAATGAATCCTCGAATGGAAAAAAACAAACACTGGCAAAATCTTGCAAAGTAATCAAACGAGAACGATTGCACTGAAATAACGTCCCACGGCAATGACATTTGGGGTAAGGGTAAGGCCCAGTCGTCTGAGGCGTCGCGATTCGCTGTGCAGAGTTGCGTCCCTTGGGCACGCCAGAAACCTATGATTATGGGTTCGAATCCCGGTTCGCCCCGATTATGTTTCTAGGTTTGTCAGCACCATACCCGGGCTCGTGGGTTTCATCGAAGTGGTAAACGTCCGAGACCTGCATCACTTCGGGCTTTCCTCCCACATTAAGCTGACACGCCGTGATATAACTGGAATACTGTTAAAAGCGGCGTTAAACCCAACTCATTCACTCACTCACTCACAATTAGCTGTGCAGTGTTGCGTCCCTTGGGCACTCCACAAACCCATGAATTTGGGCTCGAAACACGGTTCATCCCGATTATGGTTTTAGGTTTGTCATCACCATACCCATGGAAACGTCTAAGACTTACATTACCCCCGACATCAAGCTGACACGTCCTGATATTACTGGAATACTGTTCAAAGCAGCGTTAAACCTAACCCACTCACTTGTTTTCCATGTTAATGAAGTTTAGACGAATACGTCAGTGAGTGAGTAATGTTGAACACCAATTCGAACATTATTTTAGTTAAAATTCCAAAGTGATGCAGGTCGAAGACGTTTATCATGGTGAATGTGGGATTCAAATAATCGATCAGCGGATCCTGGTACGCCAAAGGAACCTATGAAGGTCCTCTTTAGAATTGATTACATACATATATAATTTGTGGTATTTCTCAATAAGTACAAATTAAGTTGGTCCTACGCGAAAACTGGCCTGTTGAACCAATCCTATTAAATAAGGTATAATTGTAAATAAAAAGCGACAAAGACATTTTCATAATCATGTGCTGTCCCCCGCTGTGATATTGCTGGGATATTGCTAAAAGCGGCGTAAAAAACATACTCACTCACTCACTCACTCAAGTGAAAAGGTGAACGCATCCTGGGCCACATGTGGCACTCGTCACAAACACATGCAATGGCAAGTCAATTGTTCACCTAAAACATTTGGTACAAGTCAAAATAGGGATTTGCATCGGTCATAATTTTTGCCTGATGCGTCTGATCAAACAAACTTTTAGCAAATGAAATCTTCGTAGAAAGAGTAAAAAAGAGGCTCAAAAGCTGTGAAATGTGGACACTAAAGACTGGAGCTGCTAGAATATTGCTCGACATCAGGGGAAATTTGACAATTTGAAAGACGAAATTATCCCTCTTGTCATACAGTCTTGACCCGTTACGATCCGGGGTAGAATAGGCCTTCAGCAACCCATACTTGCCGTAAAAGGCGACTATGCTTGTCGTAATATGCGACTAACGGGATTGAGTGGTCAGGCTCGCTGTTTTGGTTCATGCATGTCATCGTATCCAAATTGCGTGGATCGATGCTCATGATGTCAATCACTTGATTTTCTAGTCCAGGCTCGACTATTTACAGACCGCCGTCGTATAGCTGGACTATTGCTGAGTGCGGCGTTAAACAACAAACAAACAAAATCATACAGTCTTGTGAAGAGTTTTGTTATTCTGACTCATTTTGCATAGATATAAATACTTGCTTTTACTTGTCTATTTTTTTTTTTTTTCAGGTGGGTAAATCAGTGGAAGGGAATTGGCTATTTGAGCGTTATGGAACGACATCAGGTTTTCGATATACATGAAGCTTAAGTTACACTTCTTAGCCAAATTCCCTGGTATTGGTGTTTGCCTATCCGTGCAGAAATTCCGATTCATGTGCACAAAGAAACAGCTCCGCAAGAATGAGAGCCCATGCGGATGCCTACTTATTGTCTAAATGTCTTATTCCAAAATAACACATCGATGTTATCAATGAGGAAGTTCATCATTTCACGTATCATTTTCTCAGTAAACGTCATATGACATATGCTTTCAGTTTTGACAAATTGTCCTGAACCTCTGAAGAGCCTAACTTTACCTATGGCGCGATTAATGACAATGTCCCAAGGATGAAGGAATGCCCTAAGTTTATGGGACATTAGTGTGCAAAGTTAAAAACACATAATGTTTTGACAGAATTAAACTTGGTTATTTACTGAGATTTAATCTTCTGCAAAGTATTAATCCACTTGTCTTTCCGTGAATATACAGAAATTCCTTCCTTGATTGTTTAAAAGATCAAGGTTAATCTTTGAGACAGACTTTGGTGGCACATATGCTTGACCCAGCAATAAATCTCTCTTTGTACGGATTTTATAGCGCCTTGGAACCCAGAATAAAAGTAACGGACATGTCTTCGGGTTGTAGAAGCAAGCCATGATTATTGGACATGATGATTGAACATCTCAAGTAATAATGTCTAAACCTGATGGGTTACCTTTCGTTAATGATTATATACAATTTAGTATCACTTGTTTTGTAATTGCAGACTCTAGCTCATCATGAGGAGCGGCTTGGTCTACATTGTCGTACACATTCAGTGTAGGTATAAACTCACCTATGTTTAAAGCTCAAACTTGAAACAAGTCTTTAAAATATTCGCCCTAATTATCTGCACTGATATAATATTTGCCAAGGACTAAGCAACGCATGTTTTGAATTTGCCTAAAAATAATTACTGTTATTTAGCGGTCTCTGGTGATATGTATCTTCTCTTTTTAAATGAAATACACTGATATAAATACAAATTACCAAAGAAGCTGAACGTTTACAGTTTCCATACCTTCAACAAACAAACAAACAAAGCATGGGTTGTGCTGGTGCATGTGATGACACGTACAGAGGAAGGTGATGTGACCCTGCTCTACAGTGAAGTTATTGATGATGATTTATAAAAAAAGAAAATGAGTCACAAGGTAATTTTCATGTGGCCTTATCTTCGTGTTTACATCTATGAATTTAAGATGTTTTGTCGGACCTATTAACAGCTACTTATGGCGCAGTGGTCTTGACCCCGGAGAAGTGCTGCGGCGTGGAAAGTAGATGCACGTAAAGGTGGGGTGAGGTGAAATTGGGTTTAACGTCGCGTCCAAGATTATTGCACTTATATAGCGACGTGCATGCACGTGTGTGTGTGTGGCTGCTTGTACTAGTCCGGACTGATGCCGATTTATAGTGCTAGCTCACTGAGATACTATGCCGCAGTTTAACATGAATACCCCACTCACAACACAGTATACTGACTCCGAGCCGACCAGTCCTTGTTTTAGCCCCTTAATGTCGAGCGCCAGACAGGGTAACAACAAGTACCATCTTTTAACATCTTTTGGTATGACGCGGCCGGGGATCGAACCCCGGACCTTCCGCTCTCCGGGCGGACGCTCTACCACAAGACCACGGAGGCGGCTGCACGTAAAGGCATGTGTTTGTTGTCGTGAGTGAGTGAGTGAGTGAGTGAGTGAGTGAGTGAGCAAGGTTTAAAGCCGCTTCCAACAGTGTTCCAGTTATATCATGGCGTTAAAATGGGCGGAAAGCCCAAAGTGATGCAGACGTTTATCAATTTGGTGAAACCCACGAGCACGACAAACGGCGGTCATACCCCAGTTGCAGATACCAAAGTTTGTGTGTTTTGGACGGTGGAGTAGAGATGGCTTGTCAAAACATATATCATTTACCTGTTGTGGTAATGGATCAGTCGTAATAAATTTGATAGACTTAAATGTGTATAATTAAGATCAAATTAAAAAAAGGTGTTTGAAGTAAATGGGAAAATAAGTGATCTACACGGATACAACCGGATAATATATTGTTTTCTTTTCTACTAATATAAATGTAACTAATGAACCATCACTTACAAAACAACTTAAGTTTGTAAGTTTATTCTCAGCTTCCCACGGAAATATTGATATTTTTCAATTTACATGTTTTACTAAATTGTGCATGTTTTGTCAGAGATATCTGAATTTGTCACAAACATGGTAATTTTCAGAAAGTTGACTTTGTTACATAATAGAGAGGTACGTCCCAGGAACACGTTCAACATCACAGCAAGTGACTCTGACAAAAGTGGCAATATTGACATACGCTTTCACATTGAGTAAATAACGGTGATTACGTTACACTTTTTAGAATGTAAAGATTTCTAAATAATTATTATTAAATGTGTCTAAACCAAAATGAACTTGGAATTAATAACATCCAAAATGAGATGCAGAATCAACATATTAAAAATGTGTTTTTTTTAATGATTTCATATATTCTATTGACAGTTTTGAAACACAGGAGTGAACATTATTTTCATAAAAACAGGAGAATAGCATGTTTTAGTCAGTGACAATTATAGGTCTTATTATTTGATGAGGTGTCTGACAAATGGAATATGATCAAGACTGATCCATTTTATTACTAGGGTAACACGCATTGGACAGTTACGAACAGAAACATGTAAACTCTGCAAATCGCCAGCTATAGCTGATGAATTTCATTACTTCTTTAGATGTGAAGCATTCAGTGAATATAGAACCTCTCCCTTAGCCGAGAAATACATACATTATTCAAACATCACTAAATTAAAAAAACTACTTTGTTCAGAAAAGGTAATGAT